CCGCCGAAGCTCTCCAGACCGGAGTCACCCGACTTTGGGCTGGCTGCAGATCTTTGGACGCCGCTTGTGAGCTACTGAGATGAAACTTGAAGCCCCTGCTGCGTCCAGCCAATGTTGCTTGTTATTTGAAACAGTGTGATTGCTGGGCCAGTCGCGTGTAGTCCTATGAGGTTGTGCATTCCTGCAGGGCCCAGGAGGCAGAGATCCCAAAACATCAAATGTCGGACCAACCCACTAATCATGGAATGCCGAGGAGCAAGCCGCCGGATTGCAACAGCAGGCCAAGCTTTAAGCAGAACAGCTCTCGCTGCCGCACAAAGCGTGTCAGAGGTGTGGCTATGGCCTGCAGCAGTGACAGTTGACTCGCTGCATGGCATGAGTCCTATTTCAATCATTTGACTACGGCCATGCCCTTGAGCATTGCACATGGCCAAAGTGAGTGTTTTGTGTAGATCTGGACAGTGGGAAGGTGTCAAGACTGAGCGCAGCATCACAGCACATGCACCCCCTGCACCCCCCCTGCACCCAATGCAACCCCTGGCTTTTCCTTCCCCTTTCCAATCGGCGCCATCCCATCGGATCCCTTCGATACGCCATGCGCCTGGCCCAAGGGCTTGGTGGCCACCAGAAAGCCCACCTCCACGGGCGAAGCCAAGACCGGGAAGACGGCCATGGGCAGCTCCTAGGCGCATGGGACTGGCAGCCGAGATCTACTTGACGTCTTCATGACACCCGCCGTGCTCATAGGTGTCCTTTTTGGGAACATAGATGGCCCTGGTGGTTGATTGAACCAGGTAAGCCAGGAATCGCCCTCTATTTTTAAACCAAAGCAACCAAGAAGGACACCTGTGACCGTGCTGTTGTTTGGTCAGAGGTGGCTCAAATGGCATTTGTTTTTCTTAAGGAATGGCATTGCGCAATTTCGGATCCTTTGCCCTGAGAGACACCTCCGGAGGGCAAGCGTACCTAAAGAACTACCCGCATCAGAACAGCGGAAGACATTTCGGACCACCTGCCCTGCCAAGGATCCGTACACAAAGTGTCACTGCAGATGATCATGGCCGCTAAAAGCCATTTGGGCCCCGCGAATGCGACAGCAGTCACGGGCAACAGGATGAGAATCATTAGGTAGATGCTGGAGCGAGCATGAGACGCGCGGAACCAAGGATACCAAGCTGGCCTCGGCTGACTCAACTGAGGCCAGGTTGCCTACGTTGCCTGGTGTCAAAGCGCCTTCCATTCAAGACAGTAATCAATATCAAGGTTCGCAAAGTCCATTGACAAAGCAACGTGCAAACTAGCGGAACATGCGTGCATGCGTCACTCAAAATTGAAGCCAAAAGGCCTTTCAGCGGGTGAAATCGCAGGAGACGCGGTGACTTCTTTCTCCACTGAGAGCTGAAGCATCCATGCCGTGTCAGGCTCATCCTGCCTAAAGCAGTCAACACAAACGCATATGCAAAACAGCCAAGCGCGGCTAAGCGCCATGGCTGCCAACCATCAGGGGGCACAGGGAGCCCCCCGCTGGTGTCGTTTACAGGTTCGGTATGGGTCTGAGCCCAAAAATTGCGCAAGCCCATGGCAAAGCTTCCTTCCAGTCAATGCCCGTTGTGCAAATGGTTCTAGCACACGGTTTGGATACGGTTTTGCGATCCACCCCTGCAGGATATTCAAAAAAAGAGCACTACAACAGAACCAACAGGGGAAGAACAAGTCAACTCCACAAAAAGCACGTCCAAACCGTTTTCTAGAGCCCTGGGCACACAGATTGTCGAAGGTTGCCGTGGAGTATGCGGTGGCAAAAGGTGGCCTCATCTGAGGCCTGTTCGAAATACAAAATACACAGTCACACAGCACCAACCGTGAATCTTGCATTCCGGGAATTGTCCAACGCAACCAGCTCGTGCAAACTGAGCAACAAGAACAATTCCAATTGCTGCAAAACATGCCTTCCACCCACCATCACTGAAACCAAGAGCTCGTTGGCCTTCAAGCACCCTATAGACAATGACAGCAGCACTGGTTGCTGAAACCCAAGATCACACACCATCTCCGGCTCCTCACGAGATACTCCCATGGCTCCACAAAGCCGTGCCACGGGATGACGCAGTCCGGCTGTGCCACGTAGAGGCAAGACCTACTCTGCGATGCAAAGCTTGGGACAATTTCCACTGCCGGTGAGCCACTTGCGCCTTACAAAACACTCCCAACCTCTGCGAGTCACCGAAATAGGAAAGGGCGCGTCCGGACGCAAACTGACGGTGATGTTGCCAGGCTGCGCAACCACAATTGCCACGCCCTCTGCGATGCATTGTGGGGAGTTGGCATCGCCCCGAACCTTGGCTGCGGGCAGCAATTTGGAAGGCGACTAGAAACAGTCTGGAAACTTCAGTATGGCTGCTGACCCGTTGGTCTCCCATCTGCAGTTATGAATGCCAACCAGTGCCACGACGCTAACTCAAATCATACGACAAAATCTTGACACAACCTGCCAGCGTACAGGCAAATGAAGTCAAAGGGAGCCATGAGGCAAGATCCTGTCCTCCAACCTGACCGGCCTAGATCCAAGCGACAGCATCGATGCCGGCATTGCCCGCGAGACTCTCGAGACCAAAGCCGGCCTCGCAAAGCGCCGGTGGCAAACCATGTTTCACTTTGGAACTTTCAGAGTTCTACTAGGGCGCTGTCTCTGCCGTTTCGTCCGAAGGGTCTTGGGCCCGAGGGAATGCCTTCCCGGCCGTAAAGCACCAGTTGCCAGACCTGAGAACTAGGCCGCGCCTCCCCTGGTCTGGCGCCGCTTGCGATCCACCGGGACACCTGGGATCTGGAGAATTCCCGGGTTTGTGATTCGCAGGAATTTCAACCTGAGCCCACGACCTTCGGAAACATCAACTTGCCTTTGCAGCTTTCTGGGCCTTGCTTCCCTAATATGCATTCAGAAGCGCATGAGAGACAAGCCATCCAACCAAACCATCAACTTGAATTGCATGGCCTGCCATGATTCACAGTAAAAACCGAGTAAACAAAGCAACTGGTATCCCCTGTCTTGTCCTCAATGCGCCATGTCGATCGCAGCTTGCACGCCCCCAAACATTCGCCCGACCAATTGCCAAATGAGTTGCTGGTTCCAGGAACTCTCCCACATCATGAACGCTGCCGTCAGCCCTCGGTGACTCCGGGAGCAACAAGCACAATGGCCCCAAGGCACAAGGAAGGGATGTATGACACCTGCTGTCACACTTTAACCGACACAGTGTGCTGGGTAACATGTGATTGTTGTTGGACATCAGGTGCCAAGCAAACTCCCTTAGCCATGGCACGAATGGATTTGGTAGCAGTTGCTGGGCTCAGCAGGCTTCACCTGGCGGGTAGCTAACCCGAGAGCTTGTTTGTCATGGCGAACTAGCTCCCACGCCAACTGAATAGGCAGGCGCAAATAATACCAGAGCGCGTTGCCGCATTGAGAAGAACAGGGCGCGCTTGGTCCCGGCAATACTTGATCTAAGCCACAGTCGCCCGTCTCTGAGCCGTTTTGGAACTTGGTCGGGTGTGGTGTTCTGCTTTGCCCAGTGCAATTCATACTGGCTCAGGAAGACTGAGGCATTCGGGGTGCACATGGGCAGCTCGCGTTCCCCTCGGCCTCCTCTTGCAAGCAAGGCCTCGGGGGCGCAGGAGGTACTTTGCGCCAGGGTATGGACAATGCTCATGGGGAAACTCTGGGCTTTCCTTGAAATGAGATCAAACACGCCCGCCAAAGCGAACAACACACAGTGCTCCCTGTTCAATGAATGATGTTGCTCTGTGGGTGTTTTTTCCCGCAGGGGGCGACATGTGGCGACAACCAAAAAGGAGTCGAGGCCACAACGCTGCGCGGAAAACGGCAGGAAAACACCCAGGACGGCCATGGGATGCCATTTCCTCCCAGGCGCCGGAGCAGCACCAGCCAAACCAGCCAGAGCCACAGCGCCCTGGCCATGAGCGCATGGCACCGACTGGGCCGTGAGGTGAGCTACGCTGAAGAAGAGGTCGTGGTTTGCCCGTCTTCGCACGAATTCAAACCCCAAGTCAGGTATCAATCGCTACTGTGCTGCAAGTGCTGTCTTGGAATGGTGGGAGAAGCGAGCCTCTAAAAGCAGAAGACCTTCTGCAGTACCGCGTGGAAACGTAAGGAGTGCAGCAATGCACGGTGCGCGGGCAGCTGCCCAATCTCGAGCCAAGACGGCATGAAGAAAACTGTTTTCTGCATACCCGCATGCCGGACTACAGGAAGGGCACCTGGAACTCCCTGGCCCCAATGACAACATGCAAACGCCGTTCCCCGGATGGAATACTACTGAATAATGCAGAGGGCCCGAACACTTTGTAGCAAAAGCCACCGCCAGGCTCGAATCTGTCGGATGCCCGTCTGGATAATGCAAACAAGGACAACTTTTGTGGGCGCCACTCTTTGGCCCGCGCCAAACAACGCTGCCTGCAAGTGCCATAGTTTGGGCAACGAGACAAACCTTGGCCTGAGGCAAGGGCACGACCCAAGACATCCACGCTGTAGCTGTAATCCTGGGGAAGCTGACTGCCAAACACGTTGCCGCCCATCAATCAAACATGATGCGCTTGGGGGCCTGTGGCCTCACGAAAAAATGGTTCCCGCAAAACACAAACACAGACACAAACACCTTTGCAAACACACGTACACACTTGCACAGCCCAACGCGCACATATTCACACGACACACTTACACAAGCACATAGTGTGTGGCGCACACGCGCACACACACACACAAACACACACACACACACACAAACACACACACACACACACACACACACACACACACACACACACACACACACACACACACACACACACACACACACACACACACACACACACACACACACACACACACACACACACACACACACACACACACACTCACGCACGCACGCACGCACGCACGCACGCACGCACGCACGCACGCACGCACGCACGCACGCACGCACGCACGCACGCACGCACGCACGCACGCACGCACGCACGCACGCACACGCACACACGCACACACGCACACACGCGCACACACACACACACACACGCACACGCACTCGCACACCCACACCCACACCCACACCCACACACACACGCGCGCACCAACCAACCAACCAAACAACCAAACAACCAAACAACCAAACAACCAAACAACACACACTGACACCTCACTCCCCCCCACCCACCCACCCACCCACCCTCCCACCCACCCACGCACGCACGCACCCAGCCAGCCGGCCAGCCACCCACCCATGCGCACACACAAACACGCAACACGTAGGTTCTAGGCATGCAAGCACAGGCACACAGACGCACAACCACAGGAGGCACACACACACACACACACACACGCGCGCGCGCACGCACCCAAACACACCGGCAGGCAGGCAGGCCAGAAGGCAGGCAGGCAGTCATGCCAGGCAGGCAGACAGACAAACACAGACAGAAACACACAAAGACGGACAGAGACACACACAGAGAGAGAGAGAGACACGTACAAACACACGCACAGAAAAACGCACAGAAACACAGAGGAGAGACACCCACAGAGACACAGACACACAGGCGCACACACACACAAACAAACGGAGTCAAAAACAGAAAGAGACACACACAGAGAAAGAGAGAGAGAGAGAGACACACACACAGAACACACGCACGCACAAATAGACTCCACCGACACAGAGACACACGCAGAGAGAGAGAGAGAGAGAGGGAGAGACACCCTCACACACAGACAGACACACACAGACAGACACACACACACACACACACACACACACACACGCAAACGCAGAGAGATACAGGGAGAGAGAGAGAGAAGAGAGAGAGAGAGAGAGAGAGACACACAAAGGCACTCACAGAGAGAGACACAGAAAGAGAGAGAGAGAGAGAGAGAGAGAGAGAGAGACACACACACACACAGAGAGACACACACCCACAAAAGATACACGCACACACACACGCACACGCACACGCACAGGCACAGGCAGACGCAAACGCACGCCCACACACACACACACACCTGCGCGCGCGATTTTGTCACAATTATGGAAGCACACAATCACAGAATCATGCAAAGAGGTTTCTTTGGGAACGGCCCTTGGATCATGCATTGCTCCAACAGCCTAAACTAAACGCTTACTCTGTCAAGCACAAGGCTGACATGCCTGTCCTCCCCAAACTTGGCTTTGCCTTCCTTTGCAACGCTGTCTCAGAAAGGGCTCCCGGCCCAGTACCGCCCTGGCTGGCCCTTCAGGGGAACCTTCGCCAGCTCGTTGCACCTTCTCGTGGACGGACGCGCCCCTCCCCCCAACCGCGCGAAGCCTCGCACTTACCCACAATAATAACGAGCAAATACAAAGAACATGCCAACACTTGGCAGAGCTTGACGACAGCACTTCCTGAAAACCTGAAGTCTACAGCAACAGAGTCAGTGACAAGTCGTCAACGGGAAGTTGCGACTTGTAAAAGCAAACCCGATTGGCATACCAGGTTTCACAATCCTTCAAGCGCGCCAAGTCCCACACCATTCTTCCAAGCTGCTGATCTCACCGCCTCAGGCTGGACAACGACTTGCTACTAACTGGACCTCTCATAGTTTCCCAAACATACCTGAGTGAACCTGTAACAAGGCCTTGAAGTACTCCACCGCAGGTCACCGGCCGGCCCGTGGAACTCCCATGAACAGCGCCCTGTGGGAGCCCTGCTTTTCGTGCGCTCAGAGAGGACTTCGTAGATCTTGTAGTAGGCACCTGAGATGCGAAGCCACAAAACATTTATGACTTCTCGAGTGCGAGGTGCCCCGCTCCCATGCGCGCGCGCAAACAAACACACACCACGTCAAGGATCTCATTGGGGTGAGGGACTGCAAGAAGGCCACGCGATTCAGGCTTTTGTCTGTCCATTGAGTCATGTGTCAGTGACCCTGCGACGAGCGCCTTTCTCCGGCGGCCACGGGTCGTCCAAGGTCGCACCATATCCAATGCCTCAGGCCACGGGCAGAAAGGTCACCAGTCATTTTCACCAGCGTGGCACCGAGGATCCTCAAGAGATAAACGCAAGACGTGTCTTGTGTGAGTCATTTCCCGGGCCCGATCCAGTCTTTCCTTGGTTTGGGTGGCTAAATGTCATGTGTCATGTCGAAGCGAGTGACTTGCATCAATACTGCTAGATGCAAACCATGACCACAAACATCAACAAACAATCCATTCTCACTCTTCTGGGCTATGCATCGCGTTGCTGAGGGAGGGCACGGCAGACTTCCTGTAAGGATGTGATTTGTCGTGTTTGTTCTCCTGAGCATTGGTGTCCAACAAGTTTCGCTTCCGTGTGGCAGTGCCCTGCTAGCCACCTGATTCTGTCGGCATTGTGAACCAGAACGTGTGACACAGCGAGATGAGCGTGAGGGGACCCTTGGCAAACAACTACAAAAGACCAACATGCTGGATGTGCGCGTTTGCTGACGAAATGCTATCCTTGGCGCGTCTAGGAGTGCGAACTGTGCGACTAAGATTCGGCAACGCAGCAGGAGTGGCAGTTGACTTCCAATGCAAAAACAAGGCGAATTCAAGGCCACCCCAAAAGAGATTCTCTCCCCACACGCCCTGCTTGTTCAGCTGCACCATTCGCTACCTTAGAGCTTCTTGAGATTTCTTAGGCAAGGCTCCTGGGAAAGCGGGCTTCTAGACTGGGAATGTTTGGAAAATAGTGTGGCAGTTCTCGAGTTTTTGGGCTCGAGTCTGACTTGCGACCGAGTTGATGCGTCTCGACCGCAAACAAACATCTGGACAAACAATGAGCCAAGAGCACGGCCCGAGGTGTGCGTCAGAAGCTGCCTCAAGGTGATGGCCTGCCAGGTTGCTTCCCTTTTGAGATGCGCATGCGCCTCCAAATTAAGCTTGGTACTGCCCATCATTGAATCAAAGAATCACGTCTTTCCCTGGCAGCCCCTGTTGGTAAAGGGGAGACTGCAGCCCGGCCTTCTCGCACGGCTGGTTCTCCTAGCGTCATTGATAACTCGACTGCTTGTCTGGGCAGCAGGTGCAACAGGCAGGCAAAGGAAAAGTAAAAAGCGCGTGTGAGTATGCCTGCGTGCGCGCGCGAGAGCGAGGCCGCCGGGCGTTCTTGCGGGCGAGTGGTTTGTGTGTGTGTGTGTTGCGTGTATGTGTGCTGTGTGTGTGTGTGTGCTGTGTGTGTGTGTGTGTGGTGTCTGTCTTGTGTGTTGTCTGCGTGTTGTTTCTGTGTACGTGCATCTCTGTGTGTGTGTGTGCATGTGTGTCCTTGAATTTGTAGGTGTGTGCGTGTGGCACGTGTAAGCATGTGTACATGCGTGTACATGTGCGTGCCTACGTGCTACGCGTGCGCCTGCGTGCGTGTGCCTGCGAAGCCACGTTCACTTTTTCGTGGCGGCCGGTCGACTCAGCAAGCTGAACCAGAAACAGTTTGCGCCTTCTGCCCTCTCTTGGGCAAAACCGTCATGTTGCCAAAGGCAGGTATGTACCTGGCAGCTCGGCTAGGCACACATCTTGTCTGAAGGAGTCTTGCATCCCTGATTTCCGATGCTCAGGGTTTTATTCAGGGAGTCCATCATCCCACTAGTTTGCCCTTGCATAATCAGCCATGGTCTCCCTCCATCAGTGCAACTTATGGGGGAATAATGCGTAAACAGGCAACGCGTGAGAGAACCAACTCAGCTGCGCTACCTTGAATTCTCAATGTCTCCCTCGATTCTGGATCCATTACGAATCAACTAGCAAACTGGAGTACAGCAAACAGAGTCTAGTCCGCGATTTCCATGGGTGTCAGTGCATTTTCCAGGTCTGCATCCTCAAGAGATCGCCTTCTGCTTGCTCATCTGCAGGCCGCGTGTCTAGCTATTTTGCCACTTTCTGTCCCCAGGGAACGACTCAAGCCACCTCTTGAGAACTCAATACCCAACTATCACTTTTGCGAGTTTACTGGCAATTTAGCATTCAACGTGGAACCAGGCTCTCGGAGAATGAGATTTCCACAAACATGTTGCTTGATGCAAGCAAATTACTCAAGAACATGTCACACCCAGCATATGCCCTGCCACATCCAGCGCATCTTTTCTCCCGAGGCATAGCCATCTGCAGACCTGGCTGGCTGAGCATGTGGCTTGAAGGGTCAGATGGCATGGACATAATCGCACCTGGGCTTCAATGGCTACACAACGCCCAGTCAAACATTCCAGCAAATTTGCAAGCACCGACCAATAGATAGATAGTTCTTGGCCGGAATGAACAGGGCCCACTGCCAACGCCCAGGCAAAAGCAAGCATGGGCTCTGGATCAATGGGATTCACTGGAGGGCGATGGTCTCCCGTGTGTTACTGCAGCTCTCTGGCCATAAGGCAAACGGAGCGCGCAGCAAACACCTCCAAATTTGGCCCCCGGAAGCTTCCTTGCCTAGCCGCTGCAAGTGCCTGGCTATGAATATGCCTTTTTACGCAGCCAGTTACCGAGATCGCCAAGAAACGCGGCGTCGATGTCACGCCCCGGTAGCGTCTCTTCCGCTCAGGCTGGCGGATGGTTCCTTCATTCATCATGCAGCGGCTTGCGCGGTCTCCGCTCTAAGTAGCAAGTCCTGAACATGCGTCACCTCACGCAAACTTGCAAGAACACCTTCCAAATGATCCCAAACAAACCACACATACAAGTCATGAATATCGAGCCGGGACAATAGCAGCCTACACTCGTGACATTTCACACGGCTCTGGCAGGGAAAAGCTGCAAGCCGCTCACAGCAGCGGCAGGATCCGATCGATCCACAGGGCCTTCGGCAGCCGAGCTACGGCGCCGGGCCGCCTCTGGGCCATCAGTAGCAGTAGCACCACCCGCTGGAGCCGCCGAGGCGTCCTGAAAATGGGAAACCGCTGTGCGCCGAGAACGTCTTGTGACATCTTGGATCTTTACAGCCAAGACCTGACTCCTTTTGTTAGATGTGCGGGGGATTCAGCAGTGAGGTCTCTGCCAGGTCTCCCAGCTCGCCAAGGTGCCGGAAGTGGATGCCAGGAGACCATGCGAGGCTGTAGCTCCGCACTGCCAGTGGCTTTCCCTGGCCTCCAGGCGCGGTTGACCGAGCACGGGAAGACAAAGGAACCTAGGAAGAGTGACGTGTGCACCGGGTAATGGCCGCACGTAGCACACCCTCACGCCTCGCCCAGAAGCTTCACGGAGACCCTGGATAGCTGGCAGCGGATCCAGGAAGCTGCCTGGGCAGGCGGCTAAGTTCTGGCGTTGTAGTACGGAGCTCCATCTCGGAAATCGCAACTTTGTAGCACAAGTCTATAGTACGGGAAGTCCACCTCCGCAAATCCAGCTCGGAAATCGTAACTTTGCTCGAAAATCGCAGCTTTGCCGCTCCTGGGATGTCGTTTCAGATGTCGTTTTTAGATGTCGTTCCCACTTAGTCTTGCTACTGGCAGGTTCCGCACTAGGGGGCGGCTTCATTTCCTTGCGTCTGTCGTAAACCTGTGTCGCTGCAATACTAATTCTTTCCATGGGGAGTTTTGAATGGAACTGTTGTGGATGCGAGAGGGCCAAGAAACATGTTCTCTCCGTCCAGCTGCACAAATAATCGAAACACGGCATGGCATCACACTCAAATCAATGCTGCCGAGTGGCAGCTTCCGTCGATGGGCAGCACATGCAGCAGCTGCACAGCCTTCACCGCGAGTGTTTTCGCGGCTAACTTGAAGGCTTAACATTAAATGCCACTGTTGCCAAACGTTTCGGCACCACTTCAACGCAAACAGCAGCAAAGACATCCCCTCTGTTCTTTCGGCCTTGGCATTCCATTCAAGACCGAAGGCTTTGTCTCGCTGTGGCACGACAGTCTTGAACCAAATCAGAAAGAAATAGCTTGTTGAAGTTGTTTAAGATCATGCTTGACAAATTGAACAATCTGCCATGAACGGCCCCACATGTCAATGCCATCCGCGTTCCCCCTTGTCATCTTGACCTTTAGTCAACACGTGGCCTCCTCGAAGTCTCGGCAAAGCAGAAATCGACTCTTCCTCGGGGGGGAGAGGCGACGTTTCCAGAAAATCATGTGTTTTCCTTGGCGTTTCGCAGCCCTCCGGTTCTTTGCCTGTTGGTTTTAGTTGGTTTAGTGAGGGTTTCCATTTAAGCCACAAGTTAAAGTAAAGAGCCACAGCCAAAAGGAAAGGACAAGCTATTTTTCTGTACCGATGGTGTCAATGTTCATCTGCTGCAGCGCCGTGATGTGCTAATTTGTGACAACAAGCTGAGCCTGAAGAAACGGCACCTCTCAACAAAAGGCGACAGTCAGTGTCTCAGCTTGTGGCCATGGCAACGCCCACATGGCGCAAAAATGACACCCTCGCAGCATGCCGCCAAAACAGCGAGGGCCAGCTGCGTCAGCATCACACACGCGCAGAAGATATGGGGATGCATGCAAATAACAATACTGGATCGATTCTGTTGAAGTACGCCCTGACGAACAAACTCCCTCCAGAGTGTGCGGCTTGGTTTGCTCCCATTGGCCAAGAATCTCGGTCTTCAGCAGCAAAAGTGCCACATGGTGAAGGCCGTCGACGCCGTTCTGAAAGATGGAATCCAGGATCCCTGACAAACAGGCTCGCTGTCTGGTCAGAAAATGCCTCCGGCTGCCAAGACTGCCAAGATCCGCTGAAATGCCTGAAATCAGTTTGAGCCACATCGATCTCATGATGGGATGTTGCAAGCCAAACTTTCTCAAGTGTGGCCTACCCCTTATCGAAAGGCCCCTCTTAGAAGACTGACACATGTGCAGCAAAAGAGCATAACCCCTGAAGGGGCACCCTTCCTGCTTTCCGTGTCAGTCTTCAGCCGCCCCGGCCCTGCCACCTGCCAACAGTGCGGCCCAGGCGCGAAACTTCAGGCAGTGAGTCGCCTGGCATCTGGCGATGCGAAATGAGCTGAACGGGTTGCAGGAAGGGCCGAGGCCACCAACACATCCGATGAAACGTGAAACACCCTGGCGCAGTACTCAAAGCCGGAACCCCTAGCATCACGTTTCACGACGCCCGCATCCAACTCACTTGGCAGCTGCGCTTGATTTGGCCAAGAATGTGGTGTGTTGGCAAGACAGACCATGCATTTGACGGCTTCAGGCTATAGCCAATTTCTGACCAAATTGCAAAGTGGCCTGCGTTCAACCGCAGATCTACGTCACAGATAGTGGCATCCAGACCAACCACCCCAAAAAGAGAGACCACAAACCGCAAGGATTGAAATGGGTGAAATCGATTCAATCGAAATGCCGGAGGCTGGCCTCCAGGCACATAAAAAAGGTCTTGAACCAGGACGTGAGGAACAAGGTGACGTCCACCTGCCTGCAAACTACACTACCGTACTACCGGCGGCTCGCTCACAAAAGCGCGTTTTGTCCGGCGAAGCGGCTGGGAAAAAATCTAGGTGGGACTCACTTTGCACAGGGTCTCGACTTTTTGACGTGTGTCTCTGTGCCCAAAAACTGAAATGCCGCAAGCACAAGAGCAGCCACACTTCGTCGAGCCTGCATTCCACATAGCTTCGCCAGGGCAAACAAAGCCCAGCATGGAAAGGACCAGTGGATGACATGTGTTGCCCAGCTCTTTGGGTCATGCGTGGCAGCACTTCTGCACTTCTCTCTCTCTGTGATTCGGGCACGAGCCTGTGCCCAGGCAATAGGTAAGTTGGGGTAAACAAGCCACAAAAGAAAGGTTCCCCAAAAGCAAACCAATCCCCGGTCCCAAAGATCAGGGTTTCCCACACACCAGAGAACAACAACCAAAGGAAAACAAACCAAACAAGAAAAGGGTTAACCCGCAACCTTGGTCGACAACAGGCCGCACGACTGGTCCCTACCAACCTGGCGGCGGCCCGAGGTCTCTTTCTCCCCCGAGATGCCGTCGGTCGACGCAGGGGTTCGGCGACGCCCATTCGAGGCGCGACGGAACCCAAAACTTGAGCCAAAACACCACAGGTCGGTCACTAACGCGACGTCCCTGATGATGATATTAACCATGGCTAATCACACCCCCCTCACGAGGAGCCCGTCAAATGACGGGTGGAGCGTGCCATTTACTGATAGGATTTAACTGCTCGCATGTGTCCGCAAACATAACCTGAGAATTCCTTCTAAGATCATTCAGGTGCGATGCAAACTCAGCACCGTGGATTGAAAGGTTGACATACTGCCATGTACTCCACGGTCCGCACGGAATTGACGCCCACAGGTCACACCCAGGATTATCCTCGATGATCCCAATAAGCCGACTAACGTCTTTGGCTTTGGTGATGTCAAATGAGCCAACGTGAACGCGAATTGCATCGCCTCCACACTCCATCATCACTGCGGACAGACGCGAGTCAGGTTCACACGCAAACTCAATGAGGAGCTTGCGGCCAGGCGCTGGAGCAGCCGGGTCCCTCTCAGGATGTTCGCGGCGTCGTTCTTCCCTTAGGGATAACTCCCGTTCGGTTTGAACATATATCTCCCGAGACCGGGTAGACATCTGTCTCCAACTGTCCGCATCAATTGAATTGGGTTTTCCGGTGCCTGCGTATGGCCGCTCACGCCTATCGGCGGATTGGCCATAGTCGATCCTGTCTCCGTGCAGCTTATGGCCCTTCTTTGGACCTCCGGCAGGTTCGGCTCCTTCTTCCTTTGGCTTGAACCTACCGTGGGGAGCACATCCCTTATCAAATAGGATGGTTACGCCAGTCCAAAATCCACGCGTGAAATGCCGATGATTGGGAGCATCGTGATGACGATCATCTCTCACCCAATTTCCAACGGCATCAAGCCCCCGCATGTGCGTGACCCTAACGGTGTCAAGCTCCTCATGCGAAGGACCACCTGGAGGAAGGTCCTCGTTCGTCGTCCCGAAGAACTTCTTCCGCACCTCAACGTGGATGCGATACCAGGCGCTGTCCTCGTCGTGCCGCTCCCAGTAATCTGAGACGCACGCGTCACCACTCCCTTGGACAGCCTTGCTCTGAATGGCCCCATCAGACTTGGAAGAGCTACCGCCCCCCTCGTCCTGTTGGTCATCGTCATCATCATCAGGATCATCAAATCGACCTTCATCAAAGTCGAATTCATCCCTGATCTTCTTACTCGGCTTCATGTCGGCCCTTCGGTCAGCTAACGCCTCCCGAATGGTCCGAGTCCTAGCATCATATGATGCCAACATCGGGAACACGTAGGGCTCCTCAGGGTTCTTCCAGATACGTTTGATCTGGTGTATACTTGGTTTCCTGAGACCCCTTTGGATGTGCTCGAGATCAGCAACGAGATAGTCGCCCTTCCACAGGCCCCCTGGTTCTAACCGATAGCCCAAAAATAGGCCTGGCTTGGACGATGGGGCGAACTTTGGGTCTTCCTCAATTTTGATGAAGTCCCGCTCTTTCTTCTCGGCGGGCAGGGCAGTAGTGACGCTTGTCTCTTCAACCTCTACCTCATCAATGGGAACAAAGTCCGGTTCGTCGTTGCATTCGGGTTCATACTCCTCGTTCTCATAGATCTCGGCCTCATCCTCATCGATCTGATCAAAATCACAGTCGAAATGAGTTTCTCCAGTCCATTCGTGGTTACCTCCACGGTCGTTTTCGGCCTGGAGCCAGTTTTCGTCAACAACGAATTCGGTCGATCCGTCCAGATAGTTGAGGACTGTGCTCCGCCTCCTGCCAAGGTCTTTGATCTTGACTGGACAGCTCGTCCCTATCGGGATAAAGAGCTCGGTTCGCGCTTCAACGTGGACGCGAGTGAGAACCTTCTCGTCTTCATTTGCGATCCAGTGGTCTCCTCCTTCATCAACGTCCTCTGAGTCGATCTTTCCAGCATGTCTGAAGTCGTTTTGGGCGTTTTGAACCCCCCCCTTTCTATCCCTGCGAATCTTGGGAGCAATGGGGTAGAAGTCGACCAGACAACCAAACGGCAGAATGACTCCGCTGAAGTTCCCGTCACCGTGGCGTCGCATCCACGGTGATCCCTCACCGCGATTTTCAATATTCCTTGCCATGGAAAAATGCCTAACGGCAAATGGCCACCATCGAGGTTCAAATCCAGCTTGACGCAGGAGCACACGTGCCCCATGGAGAACAAGCTTGACCTTGTTCTCGATCAGGCCGTTGGTCTTGGGCATGCCCGGTGTAGAAAGCCGGTGCAATGCTCCAAGCGTAGTGACAGCATTCTTCAGCTCTGGGGCCTGGTCGCTGTACACTAACTTCAGAGTTTGCCCCCCTGCAAACCTGCGAAATGCCTCCAGCGTATTGCTACGGGATCTGGATTGCACAGGAAGGACTTCGAGGTAGTCAGTAGCGAGGTCATAGAACACTATCGCGTCCGCTTCGCCATGAAAGCCTCGATCCTTCAATCCTCGCAACACCATCGTGTCAGCAGTGGTTAGGTCCCCGAAACTTACCACGTCATGCGCAGCAGCACCACCTTTGCGGCGAAGCTTGACATTCTCCATTTTCGCACGCTGGCAGTGCGGGCAATAGGGGTTCTTCGGGAGATGCGTAAGCATATGGCGAAGCGTCTTAGCATCTGCCCGCCACTCAGCCTCTGTGCGGAGTCCGGAGAGAAAGTTTATCTCGACAAT